CTCTCCTCCGGCAGCTCGGGGTGCCGCGGCCTGCGGGCGCCCGGTGCATCCTGCCCTCCTCGTCTCATTGCCTGGCTCGGCTCAGAAGCTTTGCACACGCAAAATTAGTAATCCTAGCGCTGGTAATAATCCCCCTCCCTTCCTCGCTGCCCAGCAGACAGCTCCAGATCACATTTCTAACCGTGTAAACTGGCATCACCCGATGGGGATCAGCTGGACAGCGTTAATTTACGCCGCCTGAGGAGCTGGTGCTAAGAAATATGATTATTTTCCATGCTGTCACACTCCTGTCTCTTGGAGGGTGGTTTTCTTCAGTTGCCTTGAAGGAATCCAAGCTCTGACAACAAAGACTCTGTCCAGGCTGTGCTGTATTTGAATCAGGCTGTTTCACAAATGCCCAGGGCTGGAGAGGAGTCTCCACACTCTGGGTACAGATGCTCCATTGTGCCTGGAGCATCCTGGCTAGGGGTCTGGGAGGGACGGAGCGTCCTAATGTTATAACAGGAAGATCAGAGCTTCCATAGCTAATAGCCTCCTGCTGCTTTCAATACTGTGCTTGGATGGGGACAGAAGGAAGGACAGACAATAGCCTGCAGAAGCATGTTGGTTGGACACGTGTGCAGCAGAAAGTGTTCTCAAGGGGACTCTCCCTGCAGACGTTTCTTGCTGACCTCATTCTCTCAAAACCTTTTTGTTTATTAAATGAAGCATTTTGTATATTCCTTTAAGTGCATTTAACAATAACTTCTTGGAATGCAAGATTCATTCAGAAAGCTGCAGTGGTCTGATGCTGTGGCTGCTCAGAGTGCTTGTCATTTTGTGTGTGATTGTGTGCAGCTACAGGTAACTTAAGTACCTGTGCAAGTGCATTTTCTGGAGTATATTTTTCCCTGAATACAGGAACATGCGTGTGCCTGACAGTATAAGAGGGCTACAGAAAAGGTTCCCCCCCATATTTTAATTTTAGTTTAGTGTTAAGATCCTGCTCTTACTTGTTCTAAAGCTGGTTCTCAAATTATAGTGCCTAGTGTCATGTGAGATGCTGGACTGGTCTTACTGTCCTCCTCTTTGGCGTTGGAATCATGGGAGTTTTTGATCAGGCAAAAGTTTGATGCACGGACAGGTTTGCAGAAGGTATGAAGCTCCTTCTTTAAACTTGTGGTTACTTAGTATCAATTAGACTTTATTTGATTTTTTTTTTCCCACTGTCATTATATCCTTTTGTGCTGCAGAGCCTGTGAACTGTTCTGTGGCATCCTTCCAGAGCAGTGACTTCACTGTCCAGATGTCTTGTTCCACATGGCAGTGACCCTTTTCCTGGTGACGTCAAGATTGATTGACATGTTTATTTATTTATTTTGCCTTTGGTGTGTGTGGGCTTCAGGCCAAGTTTCTTAGTATGCAGGCAGCATCCTTTCTGCTCTGT